TGGGGGATATTGGTGGAAGAAAAACTGGACAGGAGCCGGCAACATGCGCTCACAGCCCAGAAGGCCAAACGTGCCCTGGGCTGCATCCCCTGCAGCATGGCCAGCAGAACAAGGGAGGGGATTCTGCCCCCCTACCCCGCTCTCCTGAGAACCCCCCTGCAGCCCTGCATCCACCTCAGGGGTCCCCAGCGCAAGAAAGGCACGGACCTGCTGGAGCGGGGACAGAGGAGGCCACGGAAATGATCCCAGGGCTGGAACAGCTCTGCTGTGCAGAAAGGCTGAGAGAGTCAGGGGGGTCCAGCCTGGAGAAGAGAGGCTGCGGGGAGACCTTGTTGTGGCCTTTTGGGGCTTAAAGGGGCTGGTGAGAAAGACGGGGACAGACTCCTTACCAGGGCTGGCAGTGACGGGGCAAGGGGGAATGGTTTTAAACTGAAAGAGGGGAGATTTAGATTCGATATCAGGAAGGAGGTCTTCACTGGGAGGGGCTGGTGCAGCACTGGAAGGGGTTGCCCAGAGAAGCTGTGGATGCCCCATCACGGGAGATGTTCAAGGTCAGGCTGGACGGGGCTTTGGGCAGCCTGGTCTGGTGGAAGGCGTCCCTGCCCATGGCAGAGGGGTTGGAACTGGATGAACTTTAAGGACCCTTCCAACTCAAACCTTTCTGTGACTGAAAAAGAAATAATGACTTGGCCATGCAACCACAGCTACAATTAAGAAGCCATCACTGATGCCGCAGCAGTGCAGGGACATTCCAGCTCAATCCAATTAAGAAATTAATTGCCTGGTGGTTTAAGTAGGTTACCCATCACAGGCAGGGTTTCCTCCTGCCTTCCTGCTCTTCTGTACCTCCATACCCTGTCCTGAGCTTCCCCACCCGGAAACCCCACTGCAGCTACAGCCTGACAATTACCAGGGTGGGAAGGGAGGTGGATTTCTCACTGCAGCCAGCTTAGAAAAATGCATCCAAGAGCAATCACCTCCCAGTGCTGCCATTCGGAGAGCAAGGAGGTGACGGGAATGCAGAAGAAGGTTTGGGGTTTGCATTCAAATCGCTGCCTTGGAGCTGCTGCCTCCACCTACATCAGTTACCACTTGCTTGAACTGGGCGTCTGCCCGCTTGTTCCACTGGCGAGAGCTGCAGGGCCTTCAGAGACGCCTCGCCGGGATGCGCCCAAGCTGGAGAGAGCGGTCGGGGGGCTGCCTCCCATGGAATCAGCTGCGAGGGCAGACGCGGGTCCTCACAAACACGTCCCACCTTCTTAAAGAAAAGCAGGGCAGTGCCCCGGCATCGACGCCGGCAGCTCGGCTGCGGAGGCAGGCAGGGCAGGGGCACTTTCTTCAAGCCAGAGAGCAAGGCCAAGGCTGGGCAGACCTTTGGACTTGCCCAGCGCTGCAGTTCTTGCCTTAACCCATGGCCTTGTACATTTGATTTTCCCCATATCTTGAGCACGAACGTGACCTGCAGCTGGTGCTTCTTTGCAGGAACAGGCAAGGAGACCGCGGTCACACCTCCGCGGCAGCTGGGTTTGTCAACTTCTCACCACAGCCCCAGTTAAAGCCCCCACGCTTGACAACCCAGAGTGCAAACACAGGTGAAAGGATGACACAGATGTAGAAAGACATTTAAATGTTCTCTCCAGTTGAAGTGTTGCCTGGCCAGCCCCTAGCCAGAGGGTGTTTCCTTCCTGCTGGAAACTTGTTTCTCCTGATGGGCAGCATTGGTCTGAGTTGCAGCCCAGTGGCACCACAGCCCTCTTCCCAGCCGTGGAGCGCAGGGAAATGTTTCCTGAACTTTTATTTTAGGACCTCAGAAGTTCCCTCAGCAACACAGGGGAAGCGGGATGCGTGTCCCATGCCACTGCCCAGTGTGGCAGGAGCCCACAGCACAGGAGCATCATTCCAGAAGCCAGCAAACCACCCTGTGTGGAGAAGACACACCACCACCCCCCTCCCTGCCACCATAATTGCTCTGTTTGGGTGACAATAGCTTTAATCTTCCTATTGTCCAGCAAAACATCAGCTGAGCTTCTGCTCCAACAGATCAGCAGCTCCTGTTATAAACCAGGCAGGCCAGCATCCTGCACGCTCCCCAAGCAAAACACGTGCACCAACCGCGCCGACTCTGGCCCGCCCGGGCCGCCGCATGGCCCTCTGCGGAGGGCACACTCCTCCTCGGCACAAAGCCCGTGTCCTTACCTGATACGCCCTGATGAGAGATTGCACTGCAAGATGGTCCTCCACCAGTTTATCTACATTGGGCTGCGCTTGAACCAGGAACTGGGCTTGGGACAGCGTGGAAAGGGTGGTACTCAGTGGAGGGGGGCTTTGGTAAGCGGTGCCCGGAGCAGCTCCGGCATTGGCGTTGCGAAAAAAGATGTCCCATGACTAGAAAAAGGGAAAG